TCTTCTTATTGATATTTTTATTTTTACAAAATAGTGCTCAATGTAAATTTACAGAGCATAACTATTATAAATTAACTGATTTAAAAATATGGTTCCATCGCTACACAGGGATTACCATGTTTCAAAAACAGAAACTAAAAACTTCAAATTCAATTATATAATTAAATTAAAAGCAATAGTTCTGTTTCATTTTCAAGCAAATTTTGGAACCTATATATATATATATATATACGTGTGTATAATTGTGTAGTTGTGCAGCAATCCCTATTGTATACAGATTTCGTTAAAAGCAGTTACATAGTACTGCGTTTAAGTTTTTTATTTAATTTTTCTTGTGTTATTTTCCTTAAAACTAATAAATTTGTCAGGTTACAACGTTTTAGTATAGAACACTTATGAAATTTATGTAGCATCAATATTTAGCATTTTTTATGTAACATATATAAATATGATAACAGTTAATGAATTCAGTAAATTTATCTGGCTTTGACGAGCGGTGTATCTGTGAGACTTGAAGTTGGAAAGATAGGTATGCTAAGCGGTTCTTTATTAAGTTTTGTTGGTCCATTTCTTATTACGGTGCACTTTATTTACAAAAATCTGCTCGCCTTTAAACTAATTTGCTGAATTAATTGTTTTGTTAAGCGTTTAACGGTCTGTGATTTATAGACACACACACACACACACACACATATATATATATATATATATAAATATAAAAGTGGACATTGAAGTCAACACCCAGCAGCGACAGTCTTTTTCATGCAATCGTCAGGCCATATGCGTTGTTTTTTTTTGTCTGACAATTTATATATACAGATCAGTGATGTATTGTGGGTAGTATATTGCATTGTTCCAAGATTGATTTGGGTGGACGGAACGGTTATGTTTCGAATTATTCTAGGGGCTAATGGGTGGAAATAATTGTGGATCCAAATGCAGTTTTTTGTTAGTTATAGTGTTGTTGGTTAACTTAAAAAAAAAAAAAATTGATTATTTTATTGTTGGTTGTTTATTTGTGTTTATGTATGCGTTTGTAGTTTGTTCATTTTTTTATTATTTAATTAATTTATTTACTTATTTATAGGTTTGGAATAATTTTTTGTTTTTATTTCATTTTATGTTTTTATTTATTTATTTTGTTTATACTTGTTCCTTTTCAGTTTTCGATTTTTAAATAAAAAATTGTTTTTGTGTCTGCATTTTGAGATGGGTTCTGATTGTTTATTTAGTAGTTTGTTTTGGTCTGGGAAGGAAATAATAGCAATTTTATTTTGTCAGAGTTTACAGTTTTTGGATTTATTTTTGTCGGCTGGTACTGTTTTCCTTATTTTCCATGATATTTTAATGTGATTTAACTTTTGCTTTTAATCTCCCAGATATGTTTAAAAATCATTGTGCTCTTTGCGCATTCACTGTTTGCTCTATCACTGATATTGAGCGCTTTAACCCATAAATATAGCATACCGTAAAACTATATTTTATCATATATATATATATATATATATATATATATATATATATATATATATATATATATCCACAGACAGACAGTTTCGTTGTATCACAGCTCTTCAGTGTGGCTAGATGTCCGATTGCTTCAAGCTGCGATCGAAACTCGACCGATTTGGCATCAGTAAGAGATCCTAGCCTATCCTTGCGCGGCAGAGAGAAAGGAAAATTTTAACGCTCTTTTTATGCGAAATACTGCAGTGGCTCAATTCAGTTGAAGAACAATGCGTAGGAGCCACTGTTTTTAAAATTACCCTTTTCACAAGAGAGCTCACACCAGATTTCCATGGAGCATACTTATATATATATATATATATATATATATATATATATATTATTATATATATATAATATATATTATTATATATATATATATATATATATGAATATATATGTATTGTTTTATATATATATATATATATATATATATATATCGTTAGTCAGTAAGTTTAATTCAGTAAGGTACATGACGGTATTGTACTCAACAAGGGTCGGAATGTTCTCGAGTAAAATGGTATCCTAGATGTCTATCATTTTCTGGTGGACATCACCCACACCAAGCAAGCAGTAGCCAACATATACATTAAATTTTCGGCCAACCACGTTTCTTCAATTACAATAAAACATTTAGCCGTCCAATTACGTTTGAACAAATTAAATTTGTCGTTGCATTGACAAAAACTTCAATGGATAAAGTAAAACAAAATAAAAACAAGACGAAACCAAAAAACAAAACAAAAATAAATAAAAAAAGTTGTAGTATTGAGAAGCAATCAAAAAACAAAAGAAAAAAAAAACTAAGAACAAAATGAACAAAAAAAGATAAAACAAAATCAAAATGTGATGTACGCACAAACAATTTATATAAAAAATATATTATTTATTGCAGTAATGGTCTAGTTTTTTTTTCTTTTTTTTCTTCTATCTAGTTTTAGACACATTCAAACAACTTTTGAACCAGACAGAATAATTAAACTGGTATCATAATGAAGTAAATTATTTCTTTTCCGAATTACAAGATTTCACTGATAAAACGGTGACCAATCCTATAAAACAAGTTTTAGATCAGATAGAATAATGAAACTGGTATCAAAATGAAGCAAATCTATTCCTCTTCGAAATTACGAAGGATGATTGAAAAATAAGGTCTCCCATGAATTGCATCTTCAAATTCGTCATCGGATGAAAATATATTTGTAGAATGCGCTGATTATCTCTGATAAAAAATAAAAATAAAAACGAGAAGAAAAAAACAGCTCTAATATATATATATATATATATATATATATATATATATATATATATATATATATATATATATATATATATATATATATAGAGAGAGAGAGAGAGAGAGAGAGAGAGAGAACGCAGTATGGTTCCACCACGGAATATGTGAGCGAGCGGCGCTACATTGAGTCTGATTTGCAATCTCTTCGTTACCGAGGCCCCTTGGAACAGTTGGTATGATGTTTGCTTGACAACCTGACAGTCAGGGTTTCAATTCTCGGTAGTGGATGCGCACTGCTGATTAGTCCGTAATGTAGGACGAAACGGCCGTCCAGTGTTTTCTGCATTCTATTGAGGTTTCTGCCAGACTCGATTAATTAATTAAATATATATATGTATATATTCCTGTATTTAGGCAGGAATACCTCTTTCATGCACATTTTATTGAATACGACAGACAAGGTGCTTTGATTTAGTATTTTTAAACAATTTCACATGTGATCTAATATTTTTTTTCGGATGATAAATTATATAAAAACTGTCCAATTGTTCTTTTTATCCGAGCGCTTTCGGCTATACATTTAGCCATTTTCAAGGTTGAAATATATTAACTGTTAACAAGAGGTAGTTTGTTGTATGTATGTATTTGTATAATGTTTTCATTTTCAAAACACGGTCAAGATATTGTGTTCATGTTCATAGTTGATATTGTTGAGTGTTGGTTTATTTTTTATTAATAAGGCTTACATTATTTTTAGCCTTTTACGTATATATATATATATATATATATATATATATATATATATATACAGTGCAACCCGGATATAAGAGAAACCCGGATATAAGAGAGATTTTCTCTGGTCCCAAATTAGAGCTTGTTAATGTATATAAAATAGACCAAACCCGGATATAAGAGACTTCTTCTCCGGTCCCGACAAGTCTCTTATATCCGGGTTACATATATATATATATATATATATATATATATATATATATATATATATATATATAAACGAGGTTGTGTTGAAAAGTTCATAGGCTGACTATAAAGGAGTGATGCTAGAGGTGTGAAATCTGGCATGCATTCACTTCAACTGTTCATATTAATAACTGCTTTTTTCTTTCCATGTAAACTGATATCTGACTGTTATAAGAAGTAAGTAGTAGTGATTTCTCTTTAAAATAGATAAAAAAAAATGGCATTGTGGTGTTAAAAGTACCCGCAGAAAAAGCGTTTAGCCTCCAACACGGTAGCTACACTAGGGGATGAGGCTCCAGTTTTATTAACAGTGCAAATGTGGGCACCTGAATTTATGAGAGGAAAGGTGAGTCTTGAAAATAACCTAAAGTTTGAACTTCCTGCAACTGATACCACCGAGGAAAACATTGATCATGTTCACCACATCATGATAAATGACAGGCGATTGGTTATAAATCAAATAGCCAATGGTATTAGAATATCGCGTGAGAGAGTTGAGAATATTCTGAACAATGAAATTGGCACGATGAAGGGTTTTATTTTGCAATAAAATTACCCGATCTTGTCCACAAACTTAATAACGTCGAACCCACAATAGATTTTATTTTTGAATCTGAGTCTAACAGTATTTTACCCTTCCTCGATACCATGTTACATAGAACTAATAACAACCTTCAGTTTGAGGTTTACAGAAAACCTACCAACAAGAATGTCTATATCAATTTTTATTCTCACCACTGCAACAGGATAAACTCTGGAATAATTATAGGATTCTATTTAAGAGCACTAAGAATATGCAGTCCCCAATACTTAATCAAAGGAGAAATATACATAGAAAATACGTTCAAAAACCTCCAATATCTTCATTATTCCATCCATAATAAGAGAAAGGCATACCTCAGAAATGATGTCGACATTTTTAACAGCAATAAGAATGACAATAAATTAGATAATAACAAACTTATTATACTACCTACTAACTCTTGAGCATCTACTATCCAATACAATTCATCAAAATTTAAAAATATCAAAATAATTACAGCCACCAAATATTATGGATATGATCAGAAACAAAAATACTGATAACAATAATAATTCTGAAGCAGGTATATATAAAATAAACAGTCATGGCCGCCCCTCACAATACAATGGGGAAACTTACAGAAAATTAAAAAAAATGTATCTATGAACACAAAAAGGATTTTATAGACAACAATTCATCAGATGCACTAGTCATGCATAGAAATACATTTAATCACAGCTTTGATCTAAAGATTACCACACTTTTTAAAAGAGGGATGGTGGGAGTGGTGTGGAAAGCGAAGAATGCATTGGCGACCTGCTTATGTGGATCACTGTCTGCTCCGGGTAAGGTGGTATCAGTGGTCGCTATGTGAGCTTGAGCGTGGGGAGGGTGAAAATAGGGACATCTGTTACCCTTGAAGCATGTACGGCCTCGTAGATAGTTTCTGCATACTGCCGGGTGGCCAGATTGGCCAGTGCCTCTTTGCGTCCGGCTGTGCTTCATGTTGGAGGAGGGGCCGGTCTGATTGTTCCTGTTGATGGTGGTTGGGTCGTGCCTGTGCGCCTGCCGTAGTTGCTCGTTCAGGTCCAGCAATTGTCGCTTTACGTCGGCTAGTGTTCTGTCACTTTCAAGGCTGTGAGACTTGCCGGAGTTTGCAGGTTGGCTCGCAATCAATGCGGTTGTTTCAACGGAGGTGGTCATGTCTGTTTTGATGCCGCGATCGAGAAAGCGTTGCGCGTCGCTGGCAATACCGCCCGCTGAGTAGTGTCTATCCATGGTTTTGACGAGGTGTGGATAAATGTTGGGTGCCCATGCCTTGATCCTTTCGCTCATGAGCATGGCCCCCATTAGGGAGAAAGCAGTGTCGGCCGTCATCTCGGCATTTTGTTTGTCCAACTTGAATCTCGCCTTGATGTGGACTGTGGCCTCTCGGATTGTGTTCTCAAGTCGGCCTGCAAAATCAGTGAATTTCTCCCCGTCACAGCGCTGGAGGTCCCATGCCCGACTCAGATGTTGGAAATTCGTCATCTGGAGACGAGGTAAGTTTTCAGTTCCTCGAACGTGGCTGTGGATTGTTTTGAGTCTTCCATCTGCTGGAAGATGCCTTCGTTAAGGAGTTGTTTTGCCAGTTTGACGAATTCTTTCTCCATCTCGGGGTATTCGCTCAACTCTGGCTTAACGTGTATCGTGTAAGCTTTACTGAGGTCGGTGATAAAGCGGTTGACGTCATTGCCTGGTTCGAAGGCCCGGATGGGTTTCGTAGCGTCCCGAAGTGATTGCTGTCGCATTAATAGTTCGTATTTTGTGGCGTATCGCGGTGAGTGTGAGCGATCATGTGTGGTAGTCTGCAGAGCGGCTAAAAGTTCGTGAAGGTCTGCTTTTAGTTCGTTAATGATCGATCAGCGCGTTCCATGTCGATTTTCGTTTGGAGAATCGCTGTTTTCTGTTGCTTGATGAGTTCCAGAATTTCTGAGCGAGAGAGGCCTGAGTATTCCATTGTTTCGCTGCACGCTTGACACCAGTGTTATATTCCGTATTTAGTTACGTGGGCGATGTGAAATCAATGTGGGCGAAATACTGCGTTTGGTTGCAAACAATGGAATTCAGGATCGAAAGAACAAGAAAGACTGTAGATATATTTTATAATCTCTTTTAGTGAGGAAAATAAGAACAAGTAAAAAGTTCGTATTTAAGAAGTTGAGGGAAAGGTACCCTTTGACTAGGCGTCGGACGAGAGTTCATTAGCAGCAGCAGTCACATGCTTCGTTTCGTCGCCGGGCCAGTGTGTCAGGAGCGAGCGACGTGACCCTTCTGCCTCCACCGTTGAGTGGCACTCCTTTTGACTTTCCCGTGTTGAACTTATACACGCCTATCGGCTCCAAATGGCAATTTTTTGAATACGCGGGAGACGGCCCGATTGGTTGATTTAATTCTTTTCATTTTTTTTTTCGAGTTTATCCCAAACGGAAGTATCTGCGTCGAGCCTATGCGTAGACGTGCAGTTTTCATTTCGAGTCGAGGACTCGTGATGGTAACTTCCGTTTATCGAAGCAGATCTCATCTTGTAACATTACTTAGAGGGAAAATTCTCGAAGGTGCCACTATTGAATCTTATCAAAATATAAATCTGCACCTGGATTTCCTGAAAGAAAGACCTCTTTCCCAAAGTAACATACATAACTATAAAAATATTAAAAAATTAAATGAAAACAGTTCAATTCATAACATATTTTTATTTAAAATATATAATACATAAATTAATCCCAAACTTAAATAATACACATTAATTACTTTATATATAAAAAAAATCAACAACATTACTCACTTTTGTTTAGGAGACATTGAATTATGTCACTTATCATCTTCCGTAATTTACCTAGATTTTTCGATTAACCTAATATCTACGAAGGTTTCTTAAATTTAAAAATTTTGAAAAACTAAAACTATTTTTACTTTAGTTCATAAAATACTATTTCAAAATAAAATCCTTACTTTTGCTTTGATAAAGTCCATCAGGTGATCAGATGCATCGGTTAAGATAAGTTTTCCTTTTGTCTTTATTCATATTGTCCTTTTACAGATATACTTTTAATTATATCTGAAAATTTACACACGCCTATATATATATATATATATATATATATATATATATATATATATATATTCAGTTTGTTCTTATGTATCTGTAACAAGAAAATGAAAACAAATTTCATAATCTGAATAAATGTTAAGAAGATCGTCTGCACGTTCATCGGTTCCTAATGAACAAATGGCATCTCGTGATATGTCAACATACCAGGCTGAATGTCAAAACAAAGCAAAAGTCACCGGAAAACAAGTCGTGTTAGCAACAGATAAAGAAATCAAGTCATATATTTACAAGTACTCCATGAACCTTGCACAATGCAGGCAATCTACACATCACCGATTTCCGTTTTTTTTTCTCGTTCTACATTTCCATAGGGAAGGGGAGATATGTACATTGACGAGAAGGGTAGATGCGTGCATTGATAAAACGGAGAGATATGGACATTGAGGAAAAAGGGGAGATACGTACATTGACAAACAGGGGAGCTATATACATTGAAAAAATGGGAAATGTGTCCACTGAAAAAATTGGAAGACACGAGCATTGATAAAAAGGGGAGATAATGTACATTGATAAAAAGAGGAGAAATGGACATTGATAAAAAGGGGATATATGTACATTGACAAGAAAGGAGAGATAGGTACATTGACAATAAAAGGGGAGGTACTTACATTGACAGAAAGGGGAACATATGTACATTAGTAAAAGGGCGAGATATGTACATTGATAAAAAGGAGATATACATATATGGAAAAAAGGGGGAGATACATACATTGACAAAAAGGGGAGATACGTGTATGGAATTAACACATTAATTCCATCTATATTTTACGCGCGCGCGAGTTTCCTCCCTTCCTTTCACACTCGTGCGTGTGTGCGCGCGGTTTGCACCCCTTCCTTCCTCTCACAGCTAGACGTAGCAGTAACCTGGAGGAAGAACTTCGCTAGCTCCTACTGATGACTAACAGATTTTGAATTTTTTCCCGCGCGTTTCGCGGCGTCTCAAACGGCCAGCGTTTGCAAGCCAGTTGCTTCCCGATCTTCAACCTGACTAGACGGGCAACTCATTTATTCTGTGCCCTTAACCCATATGCGGTCCGGAATATCTTATCTCAACGATGTTGACCCCACACTTATTTACCAAGATTTCTTCTCATCTTGACGTTACCCGCAGGTCAACCAGTTGCTCCGTTTTCGACCAGAAAACGTTTGAGACACATCGTTCGAGACGCGACACAGTCGCAAGCAGAACTTATCCCTCGTCAGTGAACCAATCGTAAATACAGACAGGGATATCCTACTGACGAACAACTTGCTATCCGCAGGTCAGACCTTCTCCGTTTTCTGCTAGAAAATGTGCGAGACACACGACACAGTCGTGAGCAAAACTTCGTATTCAACAAGTGGCTTATTTTTATCCCTCGTCAGTCAAACTTTAAGTACAGACAGGGATATTTTACTGACGAACAGAAATTCTTCGTCCCTTCTGGACTCGCCATAATTAACTTCTCATAGACGATGCAACCAACCGCAACTAGCTCTTCGTCCTTTTGGCTAGACGTACACAGCATTCCGTTAAAATTTTCAACAGTTAATTCAAGACCTGACCGAACTCTGAGACCCTACTTTGAACCTGAACACAAAAGAAAAAACACAAAATCACATACACTCTCAATTCATTGGACTCTAATCTGCTTTGAACCAGTACCTTAAAAATATGCATAACATCACTCTCAACGCCAAAAAAATCCACAGTGAGTACTCCTTTCTATCTGTGCGCACATACACCTCGTGTTTAACGAGTTCCTTTTTCCAGAACCTTATAAAACTCTTTTTCCCGCCTTGTTCATCTTGCATTCCTATTTTGGCGCGGAACTTTTCCTTGATCTCGTACCACGAGATAATCTACTTGTTTCCATCTAATTAAAGTTACACATGTTTTACAAACAGACGTCTTTGTCATTTTATTCCGGCTATCTCTTTAATGTTTATTAATTTATGCACTTGTTGATTGACCCCTTTCCTCTCACTGTTCATTCACGCATTTTTATTTCTTTTTATACATTGCTTGTGGACTCGGTAGTTTAGTGTGGTGTCTGGCACAAGGCCACTTTGCAATAAACCAGCACTGCACGCTGCAGGGTCCGCAACACGTGCATTGACTAAATTGGATATATACACATTCACAAAAAAGGGGAATACGTACATTGTCAAAAAGGTGCTATACGTACATTGACAAAAAGAAAAAAAAATGGAATTTAAAAAAGAACACCGAAAAACATATTTGCTGGTATCTAACAAAGATGAAAGCTTGAAGACTTCAAAGTTTCTGTTGAACATAACGCCCTGTTCATTTCTATAAAGATTTACCCGGAGATTTAATTGCTATATTTATAATGCATATGGTCACTGTAAGGATTGTCTTGAAGAGAAGCCATAGCACGTGTTTATCAACGTGGCCGATGACGGCAAAAAAAAAAACAAAAAAAAAAACGTTGTGCTAAAACACACCCTCGAACGTAAACAAACACTCACACACGCATATGTGCGTGGGTGCAAGGAAATTTGCTGAGTGTCAATATTCCTGATATACTTATGCGCATGTGCAACACGTCTTCATACATGTACGCACGCTAAAATTTCTTGGTCGGAAGACAAACATGCCAATTGACATTCCACCCTTGTAGCTTACCGCTATGTTGAATAATATTTGTGAAAGAAATAAAATGGAAAATATATATAGATAGGGCAGACAGAGCGAGAGACAAAGTGAGTGAGTGAGTGAGTGAGTGAGTGAGAGATAGATAGATATATATATATATATATATATATATATATATATATAGAGAGAGAGAGAGAGAGAGTGAAAGAGACAGGGGATCGGGAGGAGAGCGCATAAAAGCCAGAGAAGAAAAGGATTAGAGGAAATGATAATAGGAAGAGAGAAAAGAAAAAGAGAGAGACAGACAAAGACAGAGTAAGAAGAAGAACAAAAGAGAAAGGAAACGAAATTGATATGAAGAACAGAAGAGAGAGGGAGAGAGAGAGAGAGAGAGAGAGAGAGAGTATAAAAGAGTATAAAGACCCCCCCCAAAAAAAAAAAGAGAAGGAAGAAACCAAAAAACCAAACTAGAAAACCAAATTAGAAAAAAATAATAAAAAGAAAGAAAAGTAAGGGAATGATAGAAAGAGGGAGACAGAGAGTGAGAAGAAGAACAAAAGAGAAAGGCGATAAAGAATAGAATAGAAGAGAGAGAGTGACAGAGAGAGAGAGAGAGAGAGGGAGAGAAGCAAGAGAGTGGGGACGAGAGAGAGAGCATGGTAAAAGATAGAATAATGAAAGGGAAAGAAAATAGATATCGAATAAAAAGTTTCTACTAAACTAACAGAAAGTGAGTGAAAAAGACAGATACAAAATGAGAAAGTATATATATATATAAGTATGAGAACATCAGCCGGGAATAAGAATAAAGCTTCAGTTAGTCCACCTGGATATAGAAAAAAAAATGTCCGAATGAGGTCTTTGATCAGATGGCTTCTAGATGAGTCTCCACCCTAACTGACGTGGTGGGAAGGCAGCATTATTGCCGCCTTGGAGTCTGCAGAAAAGAAAAAAAACAAAACTTTCAAGTTTGACGCCCTATCATCCTTCAAAGTTTATGAAATCTCGTTATAAGATCTCACCGGGTTATGGTGGTGTGCGAAAACACGCTAATATTTGCGTATATTTCAAAAACTCTCCAGTACTCTGAGGTAAACAAATTAATTTAGAGATTCAGGGCAGCCCAACGACATTCGAATTATTTTTTTTTTAAAAAACCTACATTCTGTCTATAACTTCGCGTGAATTTTTTTTTAATCAAATTAACCCCATGCAAGGTAGTAAAGCCACTAAGACACAAGGGATTACTGTGTGTGAAAGAATTAGTAAAAAGAAACATTATTAAGGAGCAAGAACAACAGAAGAGTAATCAGGAAGACTGTAGATAATGATTGACATTGCATCGAAATTTTTGAAGATCAAAGTTGGTCAGAAAGCATAGAGCTGGAAGAGTGTGCCATAAACGAGAAGTGCGAGAAAAGAAACTGCATATAACTTACGCTTACAACTGTAAATTGAAAAAAACTTCGTCGCTAGTCTAGTGCTGCACTTAAATTCACTAAGTGTAGGTACCATAGTGAAAAGCTCATTCGAACAATTACAATGAAAGTATTTATTGAAAGGGTACTGGGAGGCAACTTTACGGCGGTGTGAAAGTGACTGAAGTCGGAATGCCAAATCAGGACCAATAAAGACAATATCGCTCTATGTCTGTTTATTTTTATTTTATTCCTCTCAAATTCACGAATCAATTTTTAGTGCTGTTACAAAACTGATTAAGAAAGACGCCATAGTTTTGGTTATTTCTTTTATTTGCCCAAGTACTTTCAATCTCATCCTAGATCATCTTCAGGGTTGAAGTGCTAAGTTAAAAATTAATGCCATTGATAGTTGTAAGTATTTTTGTAAATGCGCAGGAAACACGCTCCGTTATCGCCAATCTAAAAATTAACTGTAGGAATATGTAAGGGAGGTAACTTAATTTATATTTGTTATTACTTTATAATTTAATTTATATTTCTAAGAATTTATTTTTTTATGACATGGGAAAATAAAATAAATAACTAAAACACCAACACTAAGAAATTTGTCCCTGAATTTGAAAGGATAAGAATAAAAATAGATATATAGTCTAGATTATTTAACCAAACATGCTTGAATGAAGATATGTTGCCTATATATATACATACATACATACATATATATATATATATATATATATATATATATATATATATATATATATATATGTGTGTGTGTGTGTGTGTGTGTTTGTGTGTGGGTGTAGGTTGAAAAGTTCATCATACTTATAAAACCCAGGTTGTGTGTGTGTGTGTCTGTTCGTTTATATATTGGATCGGATTTCCTACATTTTTCAATCGATTTCAACAAAACTTCACAGGACTACGTAAAATTACATTGCGGTGGTTCTGACAGTGCCAAAAATTGAAAAACACAATTGTTTTTGCACGAAATCAATTTGAAAACACGATTAAGAGGCATCGCTGTCGCCAGAATGAAAGGAGGACAACTCATATCGAGTTATACTTATTATAAAACCCAGGTTCTTTGTTTGTTTGTTTGTGTGTGTGTGTGTGTGTGTGTGTTCGTTTATATATAGGATCGGATTTCCTACATTTTTCAACCGATTTTAACAAAACTTCACTTTTTTTTTGACAGGTAGTGTTTCTTATTGTCTTGCACTCTTTTTTCTTTATTTTTACATTCAGAATGCTTTAAAAATTCCATTTACAAGACAATTGTTTATAATAAAATTCTATTCAATCGGTAGACTCATAACGATTGAAAACAATGTTTGGGTTTGACCAATTCATAAAAAAAAAAACTAATTAAGACATGTGTGTCCGTCAACCTTAAACAATAATCTTTCTCAATTTTATTTTTTTTGCTGATTCTTCTTTGAATTTTACCAAGAATCTCTAAATATATTGCAGGAGCACCGGACTATATATGAGTAGACTTATAGATATGTAAGTATATGGAGAGAAAAACTATCTAGCACGACACAGTGAACAGACTTTCTTAACAGTTGACCTAGCAAAGAATTCAATATAACCTTTCCATTTCATGTCAGCTGAGAATGTTAGCCCGAGGAGGCACAACGAGCCACTCTCTTGGAGGTTAGCATCAGCCATGCTGCTGGAAGGCAGAAAGGCGTCTCTCAGAGGATTAAAAAGAGAAGTTTTGTTTTGTGGGTTGTTAAAATTAACAAGCCATTTTGCTTAGTTTTGGGCGGCCTTTTTGCTATTCCGATTCGCCTTCGAATTTCAGTGCCGCATTTTGTTAGACATTTCCATGACGGTCGTCCTTGAGTATTGAATCCAAGGGTTGGCAGTGAATATTTCGGAGACAGTGGGAACGCGTAGTGAAGGTTCGCAGTGGATATCACAGCAGAGTATAGTTCATCCTTCTCCTGGTCGCCTTTGGTCCTTCCGGTAGACGAAACAAGATGGCCGCCTTTATACACGATGAATACAGTGTTGTGCGGCTTCTGATTGGTCAACCTCCCATTGGTCGACTATAAAGGGGAATAAGTCATTCTGACTTGCTCACTAGTTATACGTTCATATATACCCAAAAAACCGTAACACATTTTACGTCATATATTACTATAACACAGACAGTGAAATGTTTTTACCTGTTTGATTCTGATATTACAAATTCGAATCTCACACCTTTGGCTGGCTCTACTATTGACGATCACACGTTCTGTCTCCCTAATATTAATCGTTAGTCCTTTCTTCTTCCTTTCTTTCGGCTCCTCTGTCTAGGAGATTTTTTTACTTTTCCTTCTGGTTGTGATTGTATTGTCCGTAATGAGTGGGTATTTCAGCCACGGGTAACGGTAAACTGGCTAGTCTGGTGGACAATTACTACTAAGACGAGAGTACAATACTCACGGGTAGGGCCGGTGCAAGGGTCTCATGCACGTCCCTGTACCCCCCCCCCCGAATCCTGGAAACTAAAATACGGGACTCCTATTATATCTCAATTTTTATGAGGTAGTATTCATATAAATAAAGATTTTATTGGAACCTAATTACGTACAATAATGGATCATACACAATATCGGTGAACGATTCAGCTAGAAAAATTGAATCGTTGGCGGAACTTGTTACCGAGTATCAACATTTTCTTTTGTATGAAATGATTCCTGTGTTGGATCTGAAGAGACATCCAAAGCCACCGCATGATAGGGTAGAATGGTTCAAGGCATGGGGAGATCTGGCTTGTCTTTTGGTTCTCTTCGTCTCTTCTATTTGTCTTCTGGTGTTTTCGAAGAATTTTTTTTTCGTGAACTGCTCTTCTACAATTGAACCAATTTCTGCAGCTTCCGTCTCCCAATTGACAGGATCGATTTCTGTCCTCGGCAAGGTGTTTTTCAGTTGATCCTTGAATCGACGACGTGGAGCTTCACGTAGAGTAGGTTAGGTAAGCTAGTCTGGTTAACAATAACTATTAAGTAGTAAATTCAAACGCCACTGGGTGACCCCAAACGCATGGCCTTGTATCAAAACGGAGTTCAGCTTATTAAGTAGCATACAATCCAAAAAAGTTAAGCTAGCTAGAGTGGTGGATCATATGTATTGAGTAGTGAGTACGATCCTCACTGGGTGCCTCGACTAAGCTAAGCTTATAAAATAACATATAACATATACAACACATCGTTGGATAACAGTAGGGTTAGGCTAATCTGATTGATCATAAATATTGTTTACTGAGTTTGAACCTCACTAGGTTCCGCCTGACTTATGACCTTGAGTCAAAACTAAGCGAAGTGATAACATGAACTAAAACAAACTAAATAGCATGAGTTCTTCATCTTAATATAACAGTAAGATAATAAACTTTTAATTTTAATTTTTTAAATATGCCAAAAATATTTTTTAGATATTTAAAATATTGTTTGTTTAAATAAATCCGAAATATAACTAATTACTCTACAAACAACTGGACGAAACAGCAAAGCGGAATATCTTTTTGTCTGTCTTTAAATTAAAAATATTTTAATTAAAAAAAAATTGTCTGTTTGAAGAAAGTTAAAATAAAAGAAACAACTTGTAATTCATTATGCGCCGGACGGACGCACCACGCAAGCACGCACGCACGCACATACGCACGCACATACGCACGCACGCACGCACGCAATCACACACAGATAGATAGATAGATAGATAGATAGATAGATAGATAGATAGATAGATAGATAGATTCTTCATCTTGGAGTAACGATAAACTGGCTAGTACGGATTGTATAAACATTGACTAGTCTGTTCGATCCTCACTAGGACTGAGTTGTGACCTTATCTCAAAACTAAGCTAAGATCCTTAAATAACATAGAGACTTCATCTTGGTAAAACGGTATGCAATCTAATGTGATCGGTCATAAATATTGTCTAGTGCGTCTGATCCCCACTAGTTGTTTCCCTTGTGGCCCTGTATCAAAACTATACTAAGCTTATTAAATAATCGATGCTGTTGTTTTTGTTTTATTGATTTTGTATTTTTTGTAGAACCAAAAATAAAATTGCATATTATTCATTGACTGTGCATTATTGCCCCATGGACAAACATGTCTTCTCCTGTGACTGTCACTGTAAGGCATATTTGGGTAAAGGTGGTTCCACCTCGCTGAATTTCTCGGTTATGAATCATAACTCTGTTTTAAATTGGTTAAATTTGACGACTAGACAGGAAAAGGTAACTGATAATTTAGCAAAACGAAGAGCCCAACAAGCAAATTACGAATTGAAGATATCGAAAGTACAATCAATTGAAATATGTGGGAAGTGTTTTACCAGAGGACGAAAAGTGCAACACTGAAATCCGAAAGTGAATTGGGATAGCGAAAGATGCCTTCCAAAAGCTAAGTAAAATATTAAGAAACAGGAAAATTTCGTTAGAAACAAAGAAAAGAGTGACGAACTGTTATGTAATATCAATCCACCAAAATGGCAGTGAATGCTGGGCAATCTCCTCACAGATGAAGAGACTTGAAGTAACAGAAATGTGGCTCTACAGAATGGACCGAACATGTGAGCAACGACGAAATTTTAAAGAAAATGGAAGCAGAAAGGGCACTTATACTTAGCATCAGAAAGAGTTGAAATTCCTAGGGCACATTATGTGGAAATAGGGCTTGGATCATTTGATACTCACACGATATTTTTAAGGAAATAGGAACAGGGAAAACTACGCATAAGCTACCTAGTGAGATTCAATAAATGGATGGCGGTAGAAGGTTTAGGAAAGATGAAAAAAAAAGATAAGATTTATTAAGAGCTACAATGGAGACGGAAATTATAGAGAGCCATGATGGCTTACGTACTGAGTCCTGAAACGACACGACACACAGACGAAGTAGATCTTTTTACACTTTATTTATTTTGTGAGCCGTCGTTGTGATTGTCAAATTCTTCAAGCATTCTTTTCTTATTGTGTTTTTATCAGAACTTCAACCATCTGCTCATAGTATATTGTTACGATAAGAAAAGAAATCATTAACAATGAATCTTATGTCTAATCACCAGTTTACGGTCGGTACCATTACGAATTTCTTTATCTAAACAATAAATGTATTGTTGTAACCAATTAACTGGTATGCGAAGATATTTTTTCTATCACACGAAAAGCTTACTAGGCTATGTCAGACGTTAGTGCAACGTAGTATTTTTTTAATGTAACCAACAAACGTCAAATCAGAATTCCGGTAGTTTGTATGTTGAGTTGGGAAGATATTTTTACAAGTGTAAGACAGAACGTTACAACACTAGCGAAAATTTTTTATTGGCAAACATGGACATTTGGCCCCGCAAAAGAAAAAAAAAATACGGAGTTAAAAGGATGTTTTTTTCCATTGACATCGCTGTTATTTTAACTGCCTCCACTCCTGGGTATGACGATAAACTACATCCGGCAGCAAGGCCTCTGATCGGGAGTTTGGAGATTTTCAAGAGCGTGAAACGACCTCTTAATTTTCGTGATAGTATTCTGTTTTCGACCGTAATCCGAAAGCGATTGGGATAGCGAAAGTTGCCTTCCAAAAGCTAAGTAAAATATTAAGAAACAGGAAAATCTCGTTAGAAATAAAGAAAAAGAGTGATAATAACAGTCCACCAAAACGGCAGTGAATGCTGGACAATCCCCTCACAGATGAAGAGACTTGAAGTAACAGAAATGTGGTTCTACAGAAGGTTGCTGAGAATGCCATGGACCGAACATGTGAGCAACGACACGACACACAGGAAAATGGAGGTTTCATTATTTAGCTGGGACCCTTGTTTTGAGGTCAAATGATTTAAAACAAAAAAGTATTTGCTATTTATCCCAGAGCCTGCATTTTGTGGGCATATAAATCTGTTACACATGCAAAGCATCAGCTAATTGCACCAGTTAGGGTCCCAACAAATAGTTAACCCCCAAACTGGGGTCAAAACACTATGAAAGTAGAAGGAATTTACAATTTGGTTTTTATTTCTTAATTTCTTTTGTTAAATTTATGCTTTCCAGCCATCCATAATTATTTTTTCGGGATAGTTACAAGTCTGTGTTTGACTGTCGATGAACTTAAATGCCTTCAGATCTTTATTCATGATTTAATTCTGGAAGCATTGACGCAGGTTTTCTTTTCTTTTTTCATCTTATTTTATTTTGTTTTCCTTTTTGATACTTTTGCAGATTGTTAAAGAAGGGTATCCTGATCATACTGCATTTGACAAAAAAGGCCCTCATTATGACAAGTAAATAAAAAAAAGACCTCAGTATATCTATTCTAGAGCCTAATGAGGAAAAAAAGTATTTTCTTTACTCATGTCACCCCAAGCAATGCAATAAATCCACTAAGACATAAGGGGTTTTGTCCTGGGTAAGACGATAAACTCCATCCGGCAGCAAGGCTTTTGAGCGGGAGGTTTTGAGGAGCTTGGAACTACCTCTTAATTGCTGTTGTTCCCAGGTTCAGCCTGGCCCGAGGTGGTAGAGTCCCAGCTATGGGCAAATAATGAACCCTTAAACAAAAACAAAAGACTATGAAAGTACAAAAATACATTTTTATAGTAAAAACACCAGCAAAACATCATACTTATTATAAAACCCAGGTTGTGTGTGTGTGTGTGTATGTGTGTGTACGTTTATATATTGGATCGGATTTCCTACATTTTTCAACTGAAACTTCAACAAAACTTCACAGGACTACGTAAAATTACCTTGCGGTAGTTCTGACAGTGCCAAAAATGGGAAAAACACAATTGTTTTTGCACAAAATCAATTTGAAAACACAATTAAAAGACATCGCTGTTTCGAGAATGAAAGGGGGACAACTCATATCAAATTATACTTATAAAATCCAGGTTGTTTGTGTGTGTGTGTCTGTGTTCGTTTATATATGGGATCGGATTTCCTACATTTTTCAACCGATTTCAACAAAATTTCATTTTTTTTTCGCAGGTAGTGTTTCTTATTGTCTTGCACACTTTTTCTTTATTTTTACATTCAGAATGCTTTAAAAATTCCATTTATGAGACAATTGTTTATAATAAAATTCTATTCAATCGGTAGAGACTCATAACAATTGAAAACAATGTTTTTGTTTGAGTTTGGGTTTGATCAATTCGTAAAAAAAAAAAACAAAAAAAAAACAAAGAAAAAAAAATAATTAAGACATGCGTGGCCGTCAACCTTAAACAATAATCTTTGTCAAATTTATTTTTCAGTTTTTATGATGGTCGATACTTGATCTATCTCTTACTGTTACATCCCCGGGCAACGCCGGGCTCTACTGCTAGTATTTATATAAAAAATACCAACAAAATAGTAAAATTATCAACAATATATGAATGAGCATGAAAGAACTCTTTCATGAGATTAGTACATATAATATTATACAATTTCTTAAATCAAACTGCATTCCAAAATATAATTTCAACAAAACTACAACATACAACACACTCCCTCTTGTAATTATGTTCGCACAAAAATTTATATGCACAAAAGCTGAGTATCATCTGCCATGTATTTAAAACAGAGTAACATTTTTATTGCTTCAAAGCTCTCAAGAAATTTAAATTCCGACATTAAATGACTCGTGACGAGTTGATATGCCGTTAAAGAAACAAATCAAATAAAAAAAAACCCAAAATCTTCTCTCCTCGGCAATGTTTATGGTTTTAAAGAGCGATGATTAGAATTGTAAAAAAAATCTAAACATATCGTGAAAGTGAATTTATACATTGTTTTGTTCTTGAGAATTTACAACAAAAATATTAAACACTATTTAGTTATCAGCTTGTTTACTTGCAAGAATAATTTTATATCAGGTCATCCCATAAGTCCTGTCAATTTTGAATAAAGAAAATAAGTGACCAAATGTTACATTTAATTACAGATTCAACCAACAATGTATTTTCCCTGATTATCTATGATTTCCTTCCATCTATTAACAAGCTTACTAATTCCATTACTGTAAAATTCTTTTGGCTTTGATTCGAAGAACTCACAAATGTCAGTTTTAACCTCTGTTACAAAAGCTGTTTCTTCCAAATGATTCTGTAAGCTACGAAACAAATGGTAGTCTGAAGGAGCAAGATCGGTAGAATAAGGTGGATGAGGAATTTTCTCCTAACCAAATTCTTCGATCTTTTGTGACGTGATTCTTGCAATTGTGGGGTCGCGCATTAACCTGATGAAACATCACCTCTTTTTGATTCACTAGAGCAGGTCTTTTTTTCCTCAAAGCTTGGTTCAAACGCTCTAATTGCTGACAGTATATTTGAACATTAATTGTTGCATTAGGTGGTAAGAATTCAAAGTGGATTATTCCTTGGCAATCCCACCAGATTGAAAGAAGAACCTTTTGCCCATGAAGTTCGCTTCTCGGCTGTGGCTGGGATCCTTCCCATTTACCAAGCCACTGTCTACGACGCTTGACATTTCCATAAAAGATCCATTTTTCGTCGCCAGTCACAAGTCTATCCAAAAAAGGTGAAACAAGTTGGCGAGAATGGAGAGAAGAGCAGATGTCATCTTGGGATTTGAAGTTGTTTTCAGACAATTCATGAGGCACCCATTTTCCAAGTTTAGGAACTTTTCCAAGTTGTTGAAGATGACGATGAACAGTTGTATGGTTTGAACTGAGAACCACTGCCAATTCCTCAACGGATAAAGCAGGATTTTCTTCAAGAGCTGCTTCAAGAAGCTTTTCATCAAACTCAACTGGATGTCCGGTTCGATCTTCATCTTCAAGGATGAAATCTCCACCTCTGAA